TCTTCTTGTGTTGGGTAGCTGGCTTGATGATTATTGTCCCACCCCTAAGTGTAGGTCTGCAGCTTGAATTCTGTGATTCTAATGCCATTGATCATTTCAGCTGTGATGCAAGTCCCCTCCTAAAGATCTCATGCTCAGACACATGGATGTTAGAACAGATGTTTATCATTGTGGTTGTGTTTGCCCTCATTATTACCCTAGTCTGTGTGGTTCTGTCTTACACGTACATCATCAGGACCATTCTGAGATTCCCCTCTGTTCAGCAAAGGAAAAAGGCCTTTTCCACCTGCTCATCCCACATGATTGTGGTTTCCATCACCTCTGGCAGCTGCATCTTCATCTATGTCAAGCCTTCAGCAAAGGAGGAGGTGGCCATAAATAAAGGAGTTTCAGTTCTCACCACTTCTGTAGCGCCCTTGCTGAACCCTTTCATTTACACCTTGAGGAACAAACAAGTGAAACTCTCTTTCAATGACTCCATAAAGAAGATTGTGTTTCTCTCAAAGAAGTAGAAGTTTTGATGAATCAAAGGAAAATAAAACATTCTGTGACTGTTTTATTGCTGATTCTAACTTACTCCATTGTTTTCTGTCTACATTTTAGTCCAATTAGCATTCTCATTGACATTTAACATTTCATCCTGATCTCCCCTTTATTAAACTCTTTGTTACTTCAAATCAAATTCATGCATTGTGTTTTCCTTCAATGGGAAACTAAAAAAAATATAATTTCCAAGAAATTAAGTTTTTCTCCACTTCTGAGTTAGGGAAATTGAGAAAATAATATTGCTCCAGGGAAGGAAAGAAAATAATATTTTAAATTGTGTAATTTATCTATGAGTTAAATTATATGACAATAGTGCTAGCTACTTTCTTACTGTAATATGAATTATAAAATGAATAGCATAAATGCAACAATGAAAATTAAAAAAATAGAATCCCAAAATTTTGCAGAGAAATGCTAAAATATATTAAACCAAATAATGCATTCCAAGCTTATTACAATATTGGGAAAGATTATATCAACAGGAGTTTATGATTCATCAGAATTGAAGATATCTTCACAATCATTGGAAAGATTTAGTTGCTATTTTCTTATATAGCAGACCAACACCACTTAAAAGATATATACTTAATTTAAAGCAATATAAACATTAAATCACTTATTGTGAATTACTAATTCAGAATAGATGCATGAACGTTAATTGGAACACCAAATTTTAAGTTCCCACAAATAGGAAAACTAGTTAAATAAACACACACACACACACAATATAATATATATATATATATATATATATTTAATTATCAATGATATACAATGAGCAAAATAGGAATAAATAAGGAAATAGAAATGATAATATAAATTGAAATTAAGATCAAAAATTAAAGAGGTTAGAGTTTGCAGCTATTTACAGTGTGCTTATCACTGAAAGAAAAAGGAAAGAAACCCCAACTATATGCTGTGTACAAAAGACACACTTCTGAGGCAAAGCCTTCCACAGGCTGAAAGTAAAAGGCCAGAAAATTATATTCCATGGAAATGGAGCCTGAAAACAAGCAGGAGTAGCTGCTCTCATATTCAGCAAAGCAGATTTCAAGCCAAAATTAATCAGAAGAGACAAAGAAGTTCCCTTCACAAAGTAAATAGAGCAATTCAACAAAAAGATATCATAATATTAAATATTTCCCAGAAGTTTTCAAATAGTAACTAAAGAGACTCTGGATTCCACTGATGTGTTTGGTGATTTGTACTTTTTCATCTATAATTGTATGTCTTTTCTCATCTCTCATTTTATCTCATCTCTCCTTTTTTTAGTTAGTCTAAGGTTCTATCAATATTGTTTATCCTTAAAGAACCAAGTATTTATTAAATTTTCTTATACTTTTAAAATTTTCTATTTCATTAATTTTATCTCGGACCTTAATTATTTCCTTACTTCATTAGTTTTATAATTCGTTTGTTTTTGTATTACTAGGAGCTTGAGATGCATCATGAGATTGTTTATTTGGGATCTTTCTGAGTTTTGGGTTTGTTTATGTTGTTGTTTTTATTTTACATAGGCACTCACAGTTATAAACTTTTCTCTTCAAACAATTTTGAAATGTCTCAGAGACTCTGTTATGTTCTATATCTATTCACATTTGATTCTAAGAATTTATTGATTTATTTAGTGAAAGAACATTCGAATAGCAATCTGCATGGCACCTTTATCTTCTTGCTCTTTAATCATTGTGGCAACTTCTATTGGTGATTCAATTCTGGGTGTAATTTGTATGCAGATGTGTTTGTCCATAGGAAGGAACAAGAGCAGGCTTTGCTTGTTTACCACCTGTGTTTCAAAACAGATTTTTGATATCCAGGTTGCTGGAATCATGGGAAATTCTCTACCCATACAAGTACCGAACTTTGCTGCTAATTTTCTTTAGAGTCTGCTGAAATGATTTCAAACTCTCCAGGTAATTACCTTGATAACAAAAACTCATGAAGAAAGAAAGTTGGACCAGAGTTGTAAGCAAGTATATGTGAAGAGGGAAGCAAAGACTTTCTGAAATAAAATCACTAAATGTTAAATTGCTGAGGAAGAAGGAAGGATGCAAAGCAGTTAAATTTTTCTAGATGGAACCATTTTTCCTTCTTTTCTCCTCATGCTGAAAACATTTCTTTTTCAAATAGTATGGTTACTAGAGGTTGAAGATCCATGAAAAAATACAATTACATGTCAAATCTTGCTAGAGAGAATACATGCTGGTCTTGGGGGTATTGACATCTTTGTAATAAAATGTGTGTTAACAAAGAGCCCATACTGGTGATACAAGTTAATTGCATTATTATGGTGTGATAAGAGAATGCAATTAGCACACCTCACTGTTCAGAAATATCAGTTTGGGTATCCAACTAACTCAGGCCTCCAGACTCCTTGCTTGCATAGGATGAGGTTTCAGTCTGCTTCCAAATTGACTTCATTCACAGTTACCTATCTCATTTAGTTTTTGCAGGTTTTTTTTTTTTTTTTTGCCATAATAGTTGACTTTGTTATCTACTTAGGAAGCCAGAGTAGAAGAATTTTTTTATTTTTTTGGTGCTGGGGATTAAACACAAGCACCCTAACAACTGAGCTATATCCCTAGCCCTAGAAGAACTCTTAAATATGAATTTTACCCTGGTTCTCAGAATTCCCCAGTAGGATTAGTCCACTTGTACTCAAAGGGGTATTTCAAGATAAACTCAACTGCCTTGCCTTCCCTGTTTCACTGTCTTGAGATCATTATCTTACTTTCAGTGTGTGAGAGAGACCTGGAGATCCAATATGAGTTTGTAAGCTAGAATACACAGTTTCACAGTTTGAAGTCTTTTGTTTTGTGACTCTATAGACCTGTAATTTGGAAGTTCAAGGCCTTGCCTAAACATTGTCTCTGTTTCCCTCCTTATTTCTTTGAACCAAGTGGCTGCTTTCCTCCTGAATTCCTGGATTCTTCTTCAGAACACTGCTATTCCTGTAACGTGCTTCTGAGTCTAAGAAGTTTTCAAAAATATTTTTCCTGATTTTTTTTTTATGGTTCATTCATCATTCAAAATTGTACTGCTCAATCTCTAGGTGTTTATGTAGTTCCTGTAGAATTTTTTTCTTGTTCTCTTCTACTTTCAGACCACTATGATCTGATAAGCTCTAAGAGATTATATCTTTTTATTTTTAAATATTTATTTATTTACATTTTGTAAGATTTGTTTTGTGACCTAACATATGGTCTATTTTGGAGAAAGTTTCATAACTACCTAAGAAGTGTAAGCATCTGTTTTGGGATGAAATATTCTATAAACATCTGTTAAGTTCATTGATTTGTAATACCCATCTTCGGCAGTAGCATCTTTGCTAATTTTATGCCTAGATGACCTATTAGTGAGAGAGAAGTGTTGACTTCACTTAGTGAGAGAGTCTGTGTGATGCAATTTGTTTGTTCTCAGCTCTGACTGGTAAGAGCTCTTTGATAAGAGTAAAGCTTAAGTAACTGGTCTTGAATATTCAGAAAGCAAGTATATCAAGAACAAGATAAATAACAGAGGTCAAAATAAGTAAACTTATTTGAATAAACTGCAGAGATTTTTAGTCTCCTATTCAGGAAGTCCAAATGGAGACTTTAAGCTGTCGCCACTTCCCCATTTTCACTGAATAGTGTTGGAACTTTCCTCCAAACCAGCTCAGCTCATCATATCTGCCCTTATTTTCTGCTCATATTATGATTTTGTTGAACACCACTACCTATTTGTCTTAAACTCAGTGAAAGAATTTCTTTTGGCTCCTTGGAGAGTAGCTTATCTTCCTCCACTGAACCATGTGCACAGGACTGCTGCAATCTGTTCATGTTATTAATTCTCTTTCTTTTCTAGAAACTGCTATTTCTGGTTTCTAGCTCTCTAAGTTGTCTGGCATCATTTCCCCCATAGAGTTAATACCTAAATATCTTGGAGTACTGTTATTTTAATTCAGTTTCAAGGAGTTGTTATGTTCTTGGGGAGGTTCCTCTGATTCACCATTTCTTCATATTGTGCATGATTTTTTAAAAGAGTATATTATTTTTTTTAAAGTTTCCCATATGCCATTCTAAGAACTCTTAATAATAATGCAAATTTTTGATTGTCTCAGATTTTTAAAGAAAGTGGCTTTTAAGCAAAAAAAAAAAAAAAAAAAAAAACCCAAAAAACATATTTTAAAAATTACTTAAGAAGACCAGTTTAGTTAAAAACATTTTACATGGTATTATACAACCAAAGATCCTCATATATTTTATTTTAATATGATTTTAAAGAAAATTTCTAACACGATACAGTTTTCTTATTGAAAAACACAAAGTTAAATTCAGAAAGAAATAGTTTCAAATTTCTAGCCAGCTTAAGTACATAAATAATTATATATTAGCTACTAATTCTTAAACTAGATGGATCAAATTTATTTTTGACCAAAGTTTCATTATATTCTCTTGTTATTTCAATAAATTGTATTATTTTTCTAAAGCAGTAAGTATCTTTTTAAATCCTGCTCTGAAGGCTTGCTTCACTTGCTGATTCCTTAGAGTGTAAATGAATGGATTCAACATAGGGGCAACTGAAGTGTTGAGCACAGCTATCCATTTGCATAAAATAACTCTTTCATTTGATGATGGCTTTATGTAGATGAATATGCAGCTGCAATAAGTGATAGAGACAACAATAATGTGAGAAGAGCAAGTGGAAAAGGCTTTTTTCTTTTGCTGAGCTGAAGGAAATTTGAGAATTTTCTTGATGATGTGAGCATAGGAAAGAATCACTAATAATAGTGTGACAATGAGTGTTATCATAGCTATGAAAAAAGCTATCAGTTCTAGTAAATGTGTGTCTGCAGCAAGAAAGTTGTAATATAGGAGAAATGTCACAAACGAAATGATCAATGATATTTGAAGCACAAAAATCCAAGTCAAGACCCAAAATCAGAGGAGGAAAAACAACCAGGAATCCAGTTGCCCAAGAACCCAGGACAAGCTGAAGGCAAACTTTGTTGTTCATGATGGATGTATAATGCAAGGGCTTGCAGATGGCAACATAGCGGTCATAGGACATGGTAGCCAGAAGAAAAAATTCTGTAGTCCCCAAGGATATGTAAAAAAAAAAAAACAACAACTGAGATATGCAATCATTATAAGAAATAGTCTTTTCCTTAGTTACAATGGTGATTAGGAATTTGGGGATGCAAGTAGTTGTGAATGAAATTTCCAGGAAAGAGAAATTACGGAGGAAAAAGTACATTGGAGTCTTGAGATGGGAATCCAGCAGAGTGAGAACAGTGATGGTCAAGTTTCCCATTATACTCAACATGTAATTTAGAAGTAGAAATAAGAAAATCACAACTGTAACTGTGAATTATCTGTCAATCCCAGGAGGATGAATTCTATCTGTCTTGAATGGTTCTTCATTCCTCTTTTGTGATTTTTAATCAATTTTAGAAATAAAAAAAATATGACAACCAAAGAAATGAAAACTTGTTATCCATTTCTGGGCAGTGAATTGAAATGCATTCTGCTATCATGTATAACTAATTAGAACAAATTTAAAAAAATCAGAAACTACCTGAGTAGCTATTTATCCAGAAGAAGATCCATGAAAGATCCATGTTCCCAAGCACTCCCTCTGATGGGCCAATACTCCATAGGTGTTGAAGTTATAACCTGAAACTAGAAAAACACAAACTGTTCATTTGGATTTTAAGAACATTGTGGAAGTCAACTTTCTTTTGGAAATTGATCTGCAAAACACACAATAGCTGATTTTTTTTCACCCTTTCATTCAAACTCAGTTAACTGTAACAAATTATAAATATATCCAGTTGAAAAAAATAATTTCATAAAAATATTGCTTCAAGAATCAAAAGTATTCAATTAATTTTTAATTTCATCTGAAAACAATCATTTCAGTAAAGTGAATGAATATCTACAGTTAAATTCTGATCCTTTAAATTTCATATTAAAGTGACATTTCTAAGATCCTTATTGGTACCTCTTGCCACTTCTCTATGACTGATGAAAACATGAAAATTTCCCAAGAAAAAATGTATTATTTTATATTATAAGAAAATAAATATAAGTAGAATCTAAGAAAATTAAAAAAGATTAAGTATATATAACCCTAAAGGTGTGATAGGGGCTCCATGACTCTGAAATCTGCTGAGAAATATGAAACCTATGGATAAAATAAAATGTCCCACTTTTATTATGAAATCAGTTACCTAATGAACCTGGGTTCTATTCTCAGCACCACATAAAAATAAATAAATAAAATAAAGGTATTGTGTCCAACTACAACTAAAAAATAAATATTAAAAAAATTAAAATGTAATGAAGGAAAAATACAAGGGAGAATTGTAAGAAATTCTATTTGCAGCACCTTTGTTTAGTGATACACTGTTTATAAGCTGATGTTACTAAATATAGCATTAGATTTTTTTCAGTAGCATAATTGCTCTATCTACAAATTTTCTAACTTTAAGTGAAGGATTATTTATGCTGATTTATTTTAGTATCTAAATTCAGATATAACATTGACACATTAAATAACTTTTTTGTTATTAAAATTTTACAAGCCTGATTTCAACTCCTACAAAATTCATAGTTATTAACTGGGATGCAACTGTAATTGACTTGATTTAAAATGAATATATTCTTTAGGTAAATACTAATAATGACACTTTATGTAGTAAGATCAATATCTTAGCATTTTAAAAGTTTGTTTGTATTATTTGAAAAAAATCAATAGAAAAGTCAAATCTCTGATACTCCTGGGGAAAGAATGAAAAAATACATCTTTTTTTGTAGCAAAAAGACAATTTTAGAAGTGAAAGTAGACAACAAATTTTTAAATTTAAAATAAAATTATAAGGACATCTCCTAGCCATCTTTATGAAAATGAAATTAGAAGTTGAAAGGTAGAGTAAAAATTTTCTGAGGAAATAGCCAAGTATAATTTGGCAAACTATGAAAATAACCAGAAAATAACTACAATGAAAACTAAAACTTTAAATAAAAATGTGTTTTCTATCTTTGATAAATTCTAAACATTGTATTGGCCTATTAATCAACTATAGAATATATTGAAGAATAAATATTTTTCATTTTATTGAAATACTTCTAATAAATACAGAAAAAAATAATGGGTGCTAGCAATGTCCAAATAACTAAGACTTAGAAAAGGGACACAAAAATCTTCTTTTGCATGGATGAAATGCAAAACTACTAGATAAAACTATCAAATGATGAATAAATAAAACGTAGTATGTTCATTTTCAATGAAACATTTTGCTGCAAATAAAATGTTGAAAATATAGTTATATATAAAATATGTATAAGCTTTAGAATTATAATATTAAGTTCAAAAACAAGATAACATACATTTGATGCTTTATATACAATACTATTCCATACACAATACAATATGATTGATTGATACATAGATAGAGAGATATGTAAAGGTAGTCTCAGAGAGAGAGAGAATGTACTCACATGTTTGCATCTGTGTGTCAAAATACATTAAGGTTGTTGAAAAAAAAATTTCTCTGTTCTCCCCAATGATTTTTGCCAGTAGGAATGCCTAAATACTCTTAATAGCTGTATGTACCAGGAAAAAAAAAAACACGATATTAAATCATAGTTGAAAACATTTTTGGTTTAATTTTATATGAGAAGCTGCAATGTTGCCAGTACTATGAAAAATATGTTATTTCATACTAGGTAGTTTATTTTCAGCTTAAATGATACAATGATAATTCAAAAGTTAGTAATTACTTATCTTCATTTTATGGTATACATTAGTATAAAGGTCTAAAGAAATAAATTAGAGAATGTCCTTTTGTATTTTATCTTGTAAAATAGATTCTTTAATTAAAACAATATTAAGCTTTTAAAGCACAGCAAGATCAAGAAAAAAAGGCATTAAGAATTGATTAAGTCTTAGAAGTATTTTTTTTAACAAAACTTAAAAACTTTTTCAAGCTTACTTATTTAATAATAGCAAGTAGTAACTCTACAGCAAAACTGATGCTCACCACTACAATTCAGTGCTATTCTGAAATCTATAACTAATTAAGATTTTAAAGAAAAATTATATACTATAAAATTCAAATAAATAAATTGATTGGGACATAAGATATATTTTAACTCTTTAAAAAACGAAACAAACTATTACAACAATAAAACAGTTCAGTAATATGAATATATTTTTTAAATCCTAAAAGGGAAAACCTTTTTTAGAATAAACAATATAAAACTTATCTTTCTCAAAAAATTATCAAACTCTCATAATATGCATAAGCTCAATATTGTGGTATGGTTTTAAAGTGGAAAACTATTATGATAAATCCTGCACATACATATAATCATAATGTAATAATAATAATAATAATAATAATAATAATAATAATAATAATAATAGAATGGAGACCAGAGAGAGGAAGTTACTAGGGAAGATAATGAGGAATGAGATTGATCAAATTATGCTATGTGCATGTATGAATAGAACATAATAAATCCCACTATTTTGTATAATTAGTATTAACCAATAAAAATGGAAAAAAAAGTAAAACATAGAACACAACATATTTGAAAATAAGCAATTATTTGAATAAATTTACTCATTTGGATACTAACACATTTTGAAGTGGATATATATTCTTATAAAAGTATTCCAGTATATTTTAGATACAAAATTACAAAGTTTTTATAAGAATCCTGTATTTTATAAATACCTACATATAGTATTCATAGCTATAACTTATGCAAAATTATAAAAAAGTAACAGCACTTTAAAACAAATCTATTTTGTAGGGAGGTATTATATTACAGTGCACTTGTATTTTTTAAAACATGCAGTTATTAGTAACTCTTCTAACAAAGGGAATGATAAAATACAATGTAAACTTTTTCAAGCTTACTTATTTAATAATAGCAAGTAGCAACTATAAGTAAATTCAGAAACTAACTGTATAAAGTCATGTTTTCAATTTTTAAAAAATGGTACACTTCATTTTCCTCTTAACCTGAGCAAATTTTTGCAGTTGATTTGTAAAATGATATTTACAAATGAGCTTAGAACATGAACACTGAAATAGGAAAAAAAACATTTTATAATATAAAATGTTTTCTTCTTTTAAATTAAAATATTCAAAGTAAATTTCTTCCCATCAAATTTTGTAAATCAGTATCTTTGCTATTCTGAAGACTTTTTTAAAAAAAATTATTGCTGAATATAGAATATTTTCCTTCTACATAATTTAGCTTATTACTTATATGAATTCAAGAAGCCAACTTTATGTTATTTATCATTTTCATTTTTTAGTAACTGTTTTCTTTTTCAGTTTTTTTAAAACTCTGATTCTTCTCTCTTGTATTAATTTTCCAGTTTACAAGCTTGTGATGGAAATGGTGGATCATAGAGAGAGACATACACTAATCTTTGACTTTCTTCTTTGATTTCATCTCATTTGGTATTTTTCACTTTGCTACTATGCCTGTGTTCTAATATCTGCTTTTTCTGCAAAACATATTGAGCATTTCTGAAGGTTAAATGGGAATATCAGAGTAATTTCAAAACCAGGAAAGAAACATTTTTTCAACAAGAGAAAATTATTCAATTAGCATTTATTAATTAACTTTCAAAAGCGTTATTTTTTTCCATTTAAAAAAATGTATTAAAATTAAACGTGTTGGGCTGGGGATGTGGCTCAAGTGGTAGCGCGCTCGTCTGGCATGCGTGCAGCCCGGGTTCGATCCTCAGCACCACATACAAACAAAGAGGTTGTGTTTGCCAATGACTAAAAAAAAATAAATATTAAAAAAATTCTCTCTCTTTCTCTCTAAAAAAAAATTAAACATGTGAAGTCATACTTTAGGAAAAAAAATATCTTTCAACTTTGTTATGTTTAGTTGACTTCTAAAATTTCTGAGATTTTCTTTATCTAGACAGTAAATAAATAATTACCATTTCCTTCATAGTTCTCCAGTACAATGTTTGGTTTAAACACCAAAGCATTAGAAATGCAGGTGCAAGTACATAAGTGAAACTTCTTTACTTGCATTCATGGATTATTAATATAGCAAATAAAGAATTATTTATGTTTTATAAAAATAGAAGTGATAAAATACCATGTTTGAATAACTGTTGCTTATTTCTGAGTAATTTACATTGTATGTGTAGTCGTTCCTAAATATTTGAAAAAGAAAATCACTATTTTACATACCTTTATCAGTATATATTGATATATTTTTTCTCTATAATACATGAGTAGCTGTGAACGTCTAGAGCGTTCGGGTCCCTGGGTAAGGGTCGCGAAATAACCAGGACACAGGGGATGCAGAGCAAATGCAGCAATTGCAACTGCATGCTGAGGTTTATTTGCAAGTTCCTTTTATCTACTTCTTCTAACAAAGCA